CAGGGCAGGACCCATCATGCTCTCTGAAGAACACAGAATGCCTTTCCTTCCCCAGAAACCATGTAAAGGATCATTACCTCTAGCACACCTATGGTGAAGCATATAGAGGCTTTTCTGATCCACTCCAATGGAGTTGGCGACTTTGTTTAAATATTTAAGAAGAGACAAATCACTTGAGAACCCTACAATGGCAGCAAATAGAATCCATGAGATGTCCTGCTAGCATGTTCAAAGTCTTAGCAAAAGTTACCTTCTATCAGCCCCCGTTGATGGCCTGGTAACAACAGAGAAGTTTAGATTTTTCTGAATATACACATGTATACATACCTGTGACTAAGAAGCTAGAGTGAAACCCTCAATGACTGGACACTTCATAGCAGGACCCAGAAAAGGCAAACTCTTCCTTCCAACATAGTAAATGCTCTGTTTTCACTTCCACATCTAGAAATCCACGTTCTAAGATAATAAGACTACTACAAAAGAATGACCAGACCCTCCAGAACACTGGCCAAACCATGTGGAGGTTAAACACTTTTATAGCAAACTTGACATTTTAATGTGGAAAGGAAGAGACACTAACTCTCACCCTTCTCAATGGCATTCATTTTTTTCAACAGCCTGTCAAGTAGGTCAGGTTTCAGTAGAGAGCACTAGCTTCCATTTTGGGGAAACAGTTCACACAGTTCTCAATCTCCCTGCCCAGCAAATTCTTCAGAGGGGAAAGAAGGCACAGACTGTCAGAGAAGTCCCCTACAGGAATACCCCTTTCCATTATGTAAGCTATTTGGCTATGTCAACACTAGCTCATGAGACCCTCAGGATGACCCTGAAAGGTGAGCAGGACAGGCATTATCTCCATCTTACAGGTGAGAAAACAGGGACTGTGAGGCTAAATGACTCATGAGCCTAAGGTCACAAGTCAGGCTGTTATATGGTAGCCCAACCAGCAGATGAGCCTAGCCCTCTGGCTCGCCAGCCAACATGATTTCCAGGACACGAGCCAGCTTCCTTTGGTTTCAGGGTGAGAGGCAGTGCGGTATAAATGGTCAGGAGCCCAGGTTCTGACACTGGCAGACCCACATTCCAATTCCAGCTCGGCCACCTCTTTGCTACCTGACCCTGTGTCTGCTCCTTGCCTCGCCCTTCATCTCCATTTCCTCACCTGTAAAATGGGGATGAAAACGTCTACCTCACAGAGTTATAGTGATGATTAAATGAGGTGACAGACATGAGGCACTCGAATTCATTCACTCAACAAATATCTGTGCCAGGCATGCACACTGCAAAAGATAAGATAGCGAGCAAGAGGTACAGTCCTGATCTCATGGAGCTTAAAATCCAGTCAATGTCCTACTAGCATGTTCAGTTTTACCAAAAGTTACCTTCTACAAACCTCAGTTGATGGCTTGGTGACAACAGAGAGCAGCTTAGATTAGAAAAGGTAAACGGATAAAGGGTGTAAAGTGCTGTTACAATAAAAGGTGAGTGACTGGAGAGATTAATAGGAAGGAGGCAATTTTTAAGAGTGGTCTCTAAGGAGAAATTTAAATTTGAGCTGTGAGGGATCAGAAAGAGCTATCCATATACAGAATGGAATGGAAAGCATTCCAATTATAGGGACCAGGGTGTGCAAGGGTCACAACCTGGGGAAGTGTAGGAATGGAAAGACGACAAATGGGATGGCTATCTAACCTTATGGGATTTGGGGGAAAACCTTCAGAGACTGGCTGCCAAAGACTACCAAATCTATTTTAAAAATAACAAAGATGAGGCTCAAAAGAGGTGATGTGTCTTGCCCAAGGTCACAGCTACTCCGAGGAGGGCCTGAGACCCCAGTATTCTACCTCAGGGCACAACATCTGCTCCCTTCCTTTGAGGAAGCTTCATGCACAATGAACCACCCCCCGCCCCCCCCCCAACACTTACTTCCATGACAACTGTCTTCGGTGCCCAAAAGCACCTTAAAAACTGAAGCAACAGCATCATACCAACTTCTAGGCATCTAGTCAATTGTGCACCAAAGTCCTTATCCTTCCACTCTTATGACACAAGAGCAAAAACTGCTTGGACCTCACTCAAAAGCTCCAAAATAGAAACAAGTTTCTCTTCTTACAGCAATAAACAAGAGAGGAAAGGGATGTCCTGGAAGGAAGAATCTGTGGCCTGTTCCGGAAAGTAAGAGAGAACCACCAGCATAGAAGAGTAGAAATATGAAGGTTCATCTTAAATGAACTGCAGAGGAAAAATGAATTACTTTATTTGAATAAAAGAATGAATCCCATTAAAAAAAAATAAAAGGAATGAATCCCTAAATGAATCGCTAAAGCAGTAGTTGCCTATCAGGGTGGTATCCTGCTCAAGAACACTTGGAAATTTTGTGGAGGCATGTAGTGGGCAGGGCCAGGTATGCTCCACGTCTTACAAAAAGACAGGATGGTCTTATGGCGAATGTATTACTGGGGGGCCTGGCCGGCTCAGTCAGTACAGCATGAGACTCTTGATCTGGGGGTTGTGAGCTGAAGCCCCACGTTGGGTATAAAGATTACTTTTATATATTATATACATAAAATCTGAAAAAAGAATGTATTCCCCCAAATACTAGGAGTAGCCTCACACACACTTTAATATTAACCCCAGAGGGATTAACATGCCCCAGCTTTTCCTGTATTCTCATGGTTTGGTGGCTCTTCCCACCCTCACCACAGCTGGAGGAAAAAAAATTAAATTCAGGTTTCACAGCTGAGGAGTTTGAAATTTTGGAATCCAACTGTAAGCTCATAACTCTAACATGGAACCTGGTACCAGGTGGAATAAGGAAAAAGAAGTTTCTTTTTTTTTTTTTTTTTAAGAAGTTTCTAGTAAGAGACGGATAAGAAATTTTAGCAAAATGGGAACTCATTCCCCAGATTGGCTTCTATAAGATTACATGTTTTGCAACACACAAAATTCTGTGATTTTTGAGTCTTAGACTGCTTTTCAGTTTAAAATCAGATACTAATGACAGTTCTTTTAAAAAGTTAATCACAGGGCAGCCCAGGTGGCTCAGCAGTTTAGCGCTGCCTTTAGGCCCAGGGTGTGATCCTGGAGACCTGGGATCAAGTCCAACGTCAGGCTCCCAGAATGGAGCCTGTTTCTCCCTCTGTCTGTGTCTCTGCCTCTCTCTCTCTCTCTCTCTCTCTCGTTCTGTGTCTGTCATGAATAAATAAATAAAATCTTAAACATAAATAAATAAATAAATAAATAAATAAATAAATAAATAAATAAATAAATAAAAAATGTTAATCACAGTCATCTCACAAATACAGCTAGCTGTATTTTCTGGACCAAATTTTATGAGTAAGATTTTTAATTTCAAGATGTCTAAAAATGATCAAACGTCTAAAAGTGCCCAAAGCAGCCACACCTTGCATCTCATTTAGGGCAAAGACTGATGCAGATCAAGGAAGCTCCGATGACATCTAGAGATCTGTTCTGGAATTAAAAACACCACTTTAGGGACACCCAGGTGGCTCAGTGGTTGAGCATCTGCCTTTGGCTCGGAGCACGATCCCGGTATCCCGGGATCGAGTCCCGCTTTGGGCTTCCTGCAGGGAGCCCGCTTCTCCCTCTGCCTGCATCTCTGCCTCTCTTTGTGTGTCTCTCGTAAATGAATAAATAAAATCTTAAAAATAATTAAAATAAAATAAAATACTACTTTAGCGATTCAAAATCCACTTTCAAGTGTTACCCCAAATTAGTCACTATTTCCCCCTCAAAAATTTATTTCACAAATTAAAGTTTATAGAATCGAAACAAAAGCCAGACCATTTCCAGAAATTAAAAAAAAAAAAAAGATTCAAAAAGTCTACCCTATTTCACAATAGCCAGAACAGTGATCCAACAAATACATCCTCCATAAGGCAACCTTTCTTCTTTCTACACAATATCTAGATCTTAACTCTCCCAAAGAAGTCTGAATATGCTAACTTCTTCACTCCAACTTGCCAATTAACAAATAGCGGCCCCACACCCCTTTTGACCAATTTTCTGGAAGCCTAACCTGGCTTCTCAGGTTAGTTGAGCAGACAGACCTGTTTTCCTCCAAAAGCTCCTGCCAGTGCCTTTTATGCCCTGCCAGTCGGGGCCTGGGTATTCCTCCTCCAGCTTTTTGCTGGCCTGTCATCAGAAGTTCACAAAATGAATGCATCCGGATTCTTTGAATCTTCTTCCCCCTGTAATGTACCAGGAGCCAGGCAATAAAGTCCCACCTCCCATTACAAAAAAGACATAGATTAGGAGGAAAACCCAGCACTTAGCATGGAGGGGAAGAAAAAAGATGGAGGGATGTGAGAGTCATGGAGCCAAACCTACTGCATGCAGCACCCGCCACCAGAGCCCTGGTCCTGCAAAGCCTCAGAGGGAGGCTCCCTGGCTAGGCCCTCCATTCGGCAGGCCACACCTGTCTATGGCAGCAGCCTTCCGGCTGCTCCATTTTAAACAATTCAAACACATCTCCAGCAGGGTGGCAAAACTGGGCAACCCCTCCTCCCAGCAAAAGTGGGAGAGCCCTAATCCATACAACACTTGGCCCCAATTTTCTTTCTTTTCACACTCTTTTGTTTGGGAGACAACTGCCTGGTCAAACTGGATCCCTCTCTCTGTTAACGGTTAGGTAGGCACAATGCTGCAGTGACAGAAAGGAAGCATCAAGGCCGACCTCCTCTCTGAGGCCGGCGATGCCTGATAAATGGGACTTCAATGGGCAGGTTTCGCTCTGCTCATCCACAAGTGAACCGACGCCTGGAGTCCTAGAACGCCCGGCTCCGCAGCCTCGCAGGAAGCCTCTTCTCTAAAGGGCAGACCGCCCATTCATCCCCCAGGAACCAAAGGAAAGGCAGACAGACCCAGGTCGCGCACTCCACATCCAAATGTCCGTTCGCAAGCGCGCGAAGGTTTGGGGCGCCCCGGCGCGCCCTCCCTTGCACTCCACCCCCCGAGGCCTCCACCGCCCGCGGACTCACCACTGTGCGAGCTGAACCACCTGGGTGCGATGTGCAGAGGTAGAGCATCCGCCAGCGAGGCTCGGGAGCCCAGGTACAGCATCCCGTCTCTATGGTGACCGCCGCCGGTCTCCTGGTAACCATTGCCATGGGCATAGGTGGAGTCGGACGCAGACCCTCCGCCGCCGGGCGCCCTCTCCGAGTCGCCGGTCCCCCGGGAGGCGGGGGTGTAGAGGCCAAAGGGCACCCCCCCGGCCGTGCTGGGGTCCATGCCCATGCCCGCCACCGAGCTGACCGAGCGGCTGCGCAGCCCCATGGCCCCGCCGCCCGCCCGGTAGTGCCCAAAGTGGGGCGCCCCTCCCGGCGGGGGCACGGCGCTGTCATCGGTGGAGACCCCCGGAAAGGGGCCCCGGGAGCGGGCCGCCGTGCTCTGCTTGCCCCCCATGCTCGCCCGGGCCCCGGTGGGGCGGGAACCTGGAGGCCGAGACCCTCCCCCACTTCTCAGCAGCGGGGGGAGGGCTGGGCGAGCATAAAGGGGGAGGGAGTCAAAAAGGAGACCGGGAGGGGGGGGGGGGAAGAAAAAAAGAAAAAAGAAAAGGAACCCCCGCGGGGCGGAAGCGGCAGGCGGGCGGGGATCCCAAACTAAGAATTCAAAACGATCCAAGCCGAACGCATGCTTCCCCTCAAGGTCCAAAGAGGCGCAGTCCGGAGCGGGCTCGGCGCGCCACAGGCCGCCCCCGGGCTCCCGAAGGCCGGGGGAGCCGCAGGGAAGGAGGAGGGAGGCGGCGGGCGGGCGCAGGGAGGCGCCGGAGGAGGCCGCCCGCCGGACAGCGGGAGGCGGAGGAGGGCTGGGGGCGCCGCGCGCCGCCCCCGCCTCAGGACGCCGCGACCATGGACGCCGGCCCGGACCCCTCCAGGCCGCGGGCGGGCTGCGGCGCTGGGCGGCCAGGCGGAGCTCGGGAAGCCGCGGGCGCGGCGCGTCGCGCTCTCGCTCCAGCCGCCGCCGGCCCCGCCAGCCGCTCCGCCCCGCTCGGTCCCGGGCTGCGCTCGCCGGCGCTCCTCGCCGCCGTGGAGACAATGGAGGGCGGCAGAGCGCAGGCGCGGCCCGCGCCCCCTCCCCTCCCCCCCGCCGGGTTAACCCCTTCGCGGCCCCTGCGGCCCCTGCGGCGCCGGGCCCTGACGCCGGGAGGTCCCCGCGCCCGCCCGCCCGCCCGCGCGACCGGCCTGTGACCCGCGTGGCCCGAGCCACCGGCCGTCGGGAGCAGAGCCAGGCGGCTGTTCAAGGCCAGCACTCTTTACGGCCCCCCCGATGGCTAATTATTGAGGGGGAACCACCTACGGGAGGAGGGGCGGACACGGCTCCAAGGGCTGGGAAGGAACCGCAGGGAAGAATGAAAATTGCTCGGGACGCCTACCCGGCTCTGAGGGTCACCGGTCAAGCCTCCCTCCCCGCACAAATTCGCCCTCACAGCACCCTCTGGTGGACGTGCTGTCCGTTCTTGCGGAGCTTTCCCAACCAGGAACCCCTAAGTTTGGGAAGCCTGGCGTTTGGGGGATTCTTAGCTGTTTTGGGGGGTACACAGCGCCCCGGGGCACTTGTGACCCCGGATGTTGCTGAGTAGATCTACCCTTCCTTCCTAAGGGTAGAGTCCTTAGCGAAAATGGGATCCTGAGAAATCATGAGGCGTGTGATAGAAAAGTGCGGAGGTGTAGACACAGCTGGAACTGGCGATCTTAGAAACTCCCTAGTCCAAGGCGAATCCCCGTTTTAGTTTGCCTCTGATTCCAACATGCACCATGGTGGGACACAGTAGGTACTCAACAAGTATTTGTCGGCCAAGTCTGCACTTTGCAATATGCCTCTCTCCCAAATTCGTGTCCGTCCATCCACTCATTCATTCAACTGTTTTTCAAGTGCTGGGTGCTGGCTGGCTATGAGCATCACCCAGTCCCTGGTCTGACTTCCTTGCTCTGAACGTCCTTTCCACATCGAGGAGTCAAAACAAGGTATAGAGAGAGAGTAAAAGAAGCCCCCCCGCCCCCAAGAAAAAAAGAAGAGCTGATCTGTCACAGTCCTGGTTCTCACAAAGCTTCAGAAGAGCCACTTCAGGCCAACTATGATGGCTACAATCAAAGAGGACAAATGCAAGTGTCAGTGAGATGCGCAGCCATTGGAACTCTCATACTTGGCTGGTGGAGATGGAAAATAGTACAGCTGCTTTGGAAAATAGTCCAGCAATTCCTCAAAAAGATTAAGCAAAGAGTTATCCTATGACCCAGCAGTTCTACTCCTATATTTCCAAAAGAAATGAAAACATATATGCACAGAAAATCTTGTATGTGAATGTTCATAGTGGCATTATACAAAATGGCTAATAGAAGCAACCCAATTGTCTATCATCCAATGAATGGATAAAGCAAATGTGGTGTACCTATACAGTGGACTCTTATTCTGTGCTAATATGTGTTACAACATGGATGAACCTTGAAAACATTACACTAAGTAAGAGAAGCTAAATCCTAAAAGACCATGTATTGTGTGATTCCACTTATATCAAATTTCTGGAACAGTCAAGTCCACCAAGACAGAAAGGTTAGTGGTTGCCGGAATTGAGGGGGAGGCAAGAATGGAGAATGACTGCTGATGGGTTGGTTTCCTTTTAGAGTGATGAAAATGTTCTATATTAAATAATGGTGATTATCGGGGCACCTAACGGCTCAGTTAAGAATCCGACTCGATCTCAGCTCAGGTCTTGAGCTCATGATTGTGAGTTTAAGCCTTGCATTGGACTCCACACTGGATATGGAACCTGCTTTAAAAAAATAAAAAAGGTGAGGGGTGCCTGGGTAACTCAGTTGGTTCAGCATCTGCCTTCAGCTTAGGTTGTGGCACCAGAGTCCTATCCTGGGGTCCTGGGATGAAGCCCTGCATTGCCAGAGATTCTGCTTTTCCCTCTGCCTCTGCCTCCCCCCCAACCTCTGCCACTTGTGCTCTCTCTCTCTCTTCCTCCTTCAAATAAAATATTTTAAAAAATAATGGTGATATTTATACTACCTTGTGAATATACTAAATACTGCTGAATTACACACTTAACAGGGTAAACTTGATGGTATGTGAATGGCAGTGCAATGCCATACAAAGTAGTGAAGTAAGCAGTGACAATGTATGGTGTGACAGATGGACCTAGAACAGTGCCTGGCATGTAGTTAGCACTCTATGAATGACTGAGTGAATGGTGAAGTTCCATGAGAGTTGAAAAAGCATGGTACTGATGGAAGGAGACAGGCACAAACGCAGTGATTCATTTTTGGGTTTTTTTTAGAGACACAGAGAGAAAGAGAGGCAGAGACATAGGCAGAGGGAGAAGCAGGCTTTAAGCTGAGCAGGGAGCCTGATGCAGGACTCAATCCCAGGACCCTGGGATCACCATCTGAACCAAAGGCAGCCGCTCAACCACTGAGCCACCCAGGCGTCACACAAACACAATGATTCTAAGCCAAGACCTAAAACATGAGCTGGTGACCAACCAGGGAATGGAGTCTCAGGGGGAGAACTGCACTTTAGGAAGACAAGCATGTTCCAATCATGTTCCTAGCATGTTTGAAGGCCTAGAGAACATGGCATCTTCAAGGAACAAAAGCTACAGAAGAGTTGATAGAAGAGGAAGTGGGAACCCAAGATAAAGCTGGTCCTTAAGGGCAAGCCTGAGGGTCCTGGGAGCCGGTAGGGGGCACGGACCATATCCTGAGGAGATATGGAGCTCTGGGAAGATTTATTTATTTATTTATCTAATTATTTATTTATTTATTTACTTACTTATCTATTTATTTATTTATTTATTTATTTTTAAACAATAAAGCTTTCTTCTTAAAAGGCAGACATGTTTATTTTTTTTTAATTTTTTTAAATTTATTTATGATAGTCACACACACAGAGAGAGAGAAAGAGGCAGAGACACAGGCAGAGGGAGAAGCAGGCTCCATGCACCGGTAGCCCGATGTGGGATTCGATCCCGGGTCTCCAGGATCGCGCCCTGGGCCAAAGGCAGGCGCTAAACCGCTGCGCCACCCAGGGATCCCTCTGGGAAGATTTATCAACATTATTATCAGTAAAAATAAAAATGGCTAATGACTAATGAGCATTAAAGAGGTCAACACTTGAAAAGTTAAGAAACTTGTGCCCTCCCCAAATAAAGATCTTTATTTTCCTTGGCTTCTATATTGATAAAGTCCCTGGATAGAAACATGAAACAATATGATGTAGTCCCCCCTGGGGGGTGGACAGTGGGAACTAAACTGTTGGGTGACAGGATGGATGACAAATATTTTGTTTCATTATATACTTTTTTGTAAGATTTTATTTATTCATGAGAAACACACACACACAGAGAGAGAGAGAGAGAGAGAGAGAGAGAGGCAGAGAGACATAGGCAGAGGGAGAAGCAGGCTCCATGCGGGGAACCCGACATGTAACTCCAGGATCACGTCCCAGGCTGGAGGCAGGCGCTAAACCTCTGAGCCACCCGGGCTGCCCATTATATACTTTTTTGGATTTTAGTGTTGGAGCCATGTAAATTGAATGGGACAGAGAGATAAAGTCTATACGTGGGCATTAAGATCACCTGGCTAGTAGGGGTAGAGCTGGACTTCTAAGCTTTACAGTGAACATGCTCATCAACAACTCTTTGGATTTTCTCATTTCTCTCTATGCTCACCAATGGGGTAAAAAAAGAGTCAATCTGCTTAACGGCTCTATTTATTTTTGTAAATTAAGAATTTGCCTTTAAGGTTTATATTCCAGTCTACCGATTATGGTAGGCCATCCTCTCTCACATCTGGCTCCACGGAACAGCTGAGAGCCTGAACTGCAGGTGAAGCCTCTGCTCTCTGCAGTGTGATGACACCAGGCTTAGGTACCCTGTGGGACTCTGACTGGCAGCCTATCTCAGGCAATGCCCTTGTTATCTCCTTGTGCACTTATTAAAGAACAAATTTCCTTTGAAATTAAAATATTAAAATACAGAATAGGTAAAGTTCTTCTTTCAGTAGCTTGACTCTACCCTTGACATCTTAGGGAGAATGACTCGTGGCATAGCAACAGGCATCCACGGAGACCTGCAGCCTCCGATTAGTTTCATTTTGTCATTCATTGCGTTGAGAGTCCAGTATGGGTTTTGCTGAGAGTTTCTCCTGTGGATTTTTGGTTTAAAGTTAATGGATCTGGGGAGGTGTCAAGTCATTTTGGATGCTCTCAATGCAAGGAGATCAGAGGCAGAAATGGCCTCAGTTATAGATTTAAGACTCTGTTTTATTATTATTTTTTGTATCTTCCTGCTCTCACTGACCCTGGGTGAACTGCTTCCTGGCTGTCTTTTAGCTGTGAAACAGGGTTAATAAGCCACTGACCCACCTACCGGAAGTGTCAGGAGAAAGGGCTGATAAAATTGGTGTTGCCAAAGCCTGTGAATGCCAGTGCATTACAATGCTGCAAAGCCCCAGTTTCAAACATCTCTGAAAGAATGTATGTCTAGGAGGTTCCTGAAAGGTTCAGAAAATGAGGGAAACAGCTTGCTGGGGCCTGCTCCTGAGAAACCTTGGGAAATCTGTGGCCTCCTTCCTCTCTGTCTCCATGAGCCATGGCTTTGGAGTGATCCCCCAGCACCTCCTCTGGGGGTGAATAAGTGTCTCCCAGTAAGAAACTTTCTCCCAGATTTCTCAGATCTCTATACATTTTTATTATTTTGCTTAAAAAGAGAAACCTTAAAGAAATCAGGGCAATGGGCAATGAAACGCACAAAGCAAGGAGCATGAGCATGTGTGCATGTCCACAAATATTTGTTGATTGATGGAGAGGAAAATTAGTAGTGGGGCTCAGGGCAGGATTCCAAGATTCCCAGATGTAAAGAGACTGAGGGGTTGGCTAACTCTAAGTTCTACAGAAGCGGAAGTGAGGGACTAGAAAGATAAAGGATCCGGAGTTTAAATTTGCAAGGGTAGTTACTGATAACAGCCAGACAAAGCCCCGGATTTCTGGGTTGACCACATATCCTGTCTTCCTGTGGTATGGCTGGCGAGTGACCTTCTGAAAAGAACTTGCTTGGCAATAAGAGTCCTGTGGCCTGG